GTGGCAGCCGTCCTTTGGCCAGCCTTCCCCCCACCCCTTGCCTGCTTAACCCCTACCTACCCTTCAGTTCTCATCTCCATTGCTTCCCGGGCTACGTGACCCTGACGCCCAGCCTCACCTCTGTCCCTGTGACAAGTGCCCACGGCAAGCCCAAATGCCTCCTGTCCCACACCTCTCGTGGCTGTGACTTTGCATCTGACTGTGGGTCTCCTGCACCAGGCTGTGCGTTCCAGGAGGACAGACACTGTGCAGATTGTCCTCACCACCCTCATGTGTCCGGGGCATGGCGCAGTGCCTGGACTGTGGTAGGCACTGAAAATAGGTTTTTAAATAAACAAGTGGCCAAACGAATAAAGGCCTAAGACTTGAAAGTCTCATTCCTCCCACCACCAAGAAAACACCCAATGTGAGGTCTTTGTTCCCAGGTGATGGGGCTCTGGCTTCGGGGAACTCTGCTTTAGGGTTGAACCCCTTTAAACCCATGCACGTTATATTTTAATAATTAAAACATCTTGCAGGCACCCCATGTGAGCACCGCCATGCAGGGGACGGCTGGGGTGATGTGGAATAAAGTCATCATTTCCTTATAGTGCCAGGCTGGGCAGGCAGAGGGGGCTGTTATTATGCGACTAATTATTGCATCCAAGCTGCTCTAAGTGCGATGCTAATTGCTCAGTGAATGAATTGTAGACTCAGGTAATTACCAAACCTAATGTGGCTCCCTTCATGTTTGAGTAAATTGATGCTACAGGTGGGAAGAAACCCCACTTGAAGGGAGCTGCCTCCTGCCTCACCGTTGCTGGGGAAACAGCGGTGAGTTTTTTCATCTGGGCTTGAAACTGCCCAGGTATACGCCCACACATCCGGGGTCCGCCTTCCACCCGCACAGCTGCGAAACGACAAGGAGGATCTTACACCAAACAGAACCGAGAGGCTCTTGCCACTCTGACAGATGACAGGCTGTCTCTGGGGCTCTTTCTTTATCTGTAAAGCCATCATGAAGTTTTCTTTCAGCTCTGTGATCGATTGCTAAGTGAACAAATGTCTGATCAATTACTAAAGAATGGATTTCTGCACCGAATCAGCAATCAAGTACTGGCTTCAAGTTTTACGTCCAATGTCAAGGAGCAACAGTACTCATAAACATTTATGGAGTGCTTACTACTTGGCCATCACTATTCTAATAAGCATTTTGTGTGCACTATCTCATCTAATGCTCTCAACAACCCAGAACATGTGTAGTAATTCACAGAGTTAGTGAGTGTCAGAGCCAGGGTTTTACCCAGGCATTAAGAGTCTGTATTCTTGGGGCACCTGGGTGGCTCAGTCGTTAAGCGTCTGCCTTCAGCTCGGGTCATGATCCCGGGGTCCTGGGATCCAGCCCCGCATCGGGCTCCCTGCTCAGCAGCAGGCCTGCTTCTCTCTCTCCCACTCCCCCTGCTTGTGTTCCCTCTCTCACTGTGTCTCTCTCTGTCAAATAAACAAATAAAATCTTTAAAAAAAAAAAAAAAAAGAGAGTCTATATGCTTAAACATCCCATGTGTCATACATACCCTGGGAAAGTCACATTTTTCTGAACCTCGGTTTCCTTAACAGTGAAGACACCAGTATCTACTATGTGTCCAGCCCTTTGCTAAGCGCTTTAGAGATGGTAATTTTATCATCACAAAGAAGCTGTGAAGTAGGTGGAACTGATCTCCTTGAGCAGCTCACACAACCCAGTAGATGGTAGAGTCGGGGTTTGAATGCTGTTCTGTTTGTCTCAAGTATCGTGTGCTTTCTTTTCCCCACTATTCCTCAAATTGAGGATGTGTAGATCCCCACGAATATGCTTATAGACTGCTGGAGGTTCATGCATCCTACTTCAAGAAACACAGCATAAAGTTGGCCACCGTCAGTGCGACATCAGGGTGGACCTCACGCAAATGTGTGATCTGAATTCACAAGGCAGTGTGAGTTCCTAGGGTAGCCATCCAGATGACCCCAGATCTGCTTACATACCTGTCATATACTATGAAAGTGCAAACCCTGAGTTAAAGATCTATATCTCATGGAGACTCGGGAATGCATACCCAAGCCCAGGGAGTACCTCTGCGGGCCAGACTCCATTGGGGACACACTGGGGACAGTCCTGCCCCTGAAATCTCAGAGCGGTTCCTCCATCTTGTACGTCCCACCCACCACACCATGGTGAGGACCCCCCCCTCCACAGGGGTTGTAACTTGAAAGCATACCCTTCTGTCTGCCCCCCATATCTCAAAAAGCTGCTGCCCTTCAGCTGTGCCCTGGGCAAAAGGGAACCTCCACTTGCAGTATCGCCTCCAGTTCCACACATCTTCTCTAGTCATTCCTGAACAATCTGCTCATGGGCACATGAGAAGCTGATGCTGGGGAGAGAGGAAAGGCTGCTGGACAGGCGTGCCTATACTCCGTGAAAGCACATTTTCTAACATGATCGATGTATCAGTTTGCCTTTTCAAGCAGGACACCCTCTTCATGTGAACTTGGTGTAGCAGAAGGTGCCCTTGATGGCCCGTGAAAGGAACTTATTGGCCCTGACCAGGGGAAAAGGGTCAGGAGTGTTAAGAGTTTTGAGGTCAAGAGAGTGAGCATCGTGGACACGGTGGCCTTATATCAATCACTTAACTTCTCTGAGTCTCGGTTTTCTCATCTATAAAATGGGTTTATGTAGAGTAGATACCACTTAGAGTTGTGACGAGTAAATGATACAAGTGAAAACAATGTATGTAATTATAGCAAATGAGGCCTGGAGCACATCTTACTTCCTCAGTCAGGTGAGCTGTGTCTGAAGCTACTGCTACGTCCAGGGTTGAGGGGACAAGGCAACAAACAAACAAACGAAACAGAAATTTAGAGGAGGGACCCCATGGCCCAGAGAGGCAGACCTCTGAGGAGGAGGCACTCGCTAGCTAGCGCTGCCATCTCTGAGCGGCTGCCATGAAGCTGCTTACGCAAGAGTTGGAAAGACGGCGAACTGGACTCAGCTGCCGGGCTGAAGAAGCCTAGCTGGGATAGTGGCCGCCGGAAGAGCAAGGCCCTTTTCCTTCTTCCAGGCTGCCATCCTCCTGCAGTGCCTCCTGTTGGAGAAGACCGACCAGAGCCCCGTACAAAGCTGATTCTGTTTGCAGCATCCTTACAAAGCCAAGCGTAGAAGAGTGGTTTTGAGGCTGAGCATTAATGACTCAGTAGCTGGAACACTGACTTCCCGAGGTCTCTAGTCACATACCTCCCCGGGGCACCTTCCCTGGTCACCCTCATTTTAAGTGTGCCCTCTTCCTTTCTAGAGCCATTTCCACTCTATTCTTCTCAACGCTCATCTAGCAGGTGCTTGTGGTTTTCCAACTCCCATGGCCTCCGCCAGCCTCAAGCGCAGCCAGCTGCAGTGGGCAGTTCTGGGAGAGGTCAGACTCACGCCCTTCACCTTGTCTCTCTTCCTCAGCTAACTTCTGCTTTCAGCCAGCTCAGAGGACTTCTTATTCTAGATCAGGGTTTCTCAATCTTGGCACTGTTGACATTTGGGGCCAGGTAACTCTCTGTTGTAGGACACTGTGCTGTGTATTGCACAGTGTCTAAGCAGCACCCTTGGTCTCTGCCCACTAGCACCCCTTGCCATGACAACCAAAAATGTCTCCCAATTGTCCCTGTTGAGACCCGCTGTTCTAAGTTCATACCTGGTCCATGGGTTGTGTGAGAACATGTGTATTGGCATCAGATAGAGTTTGATTGACTTTATCTTCACATATTAGCTTTATTCTCTTGGGCAAGTCACTGAAGCTCTGTGTCATTTTGCTCAACTGCAAAATGAATATAATACTATCTTCTATTGTGAAGATGAAATAAGGTAACGCCGGAGAGGGTTTAGTACAGTACCTGGTAAATACTAATCAATCAATACAAGTCAGCAACAATTTATTATAATTCAAAGCAAAGCATTAATGTAATTCATGAGAAACCACCACCAAGTTGATTGTCAACATATGATGCCAAATAACTAGCATGTGTTTATTTGTTCTACTGAATGGGCTTGACATTGGCCTTAGGGAAGTGGTAGCGCTCCGAAACTCTGTAGAAATTTCATAAGAATAACTGCCAGATGCTGGAATCTGGGTTACTGATGATAAGACCCACTTGCAATTGAGATTGATTTAAAGGCAGTTAACATATGAGTGCAACTGTGTGATACTGCAGACAAATAATAAACACTTGTCAAGTAGTAAATTTCACTGTGATGCTTAGAGTCAACAGGCTGTTTGATTCATCTAACCGATTTACTCTCCCAAATGTTACCAAAAGGAATCAAAGAAACAAATACAGTTACTGTGTCTTTCAGACTCTGAGTACTTTACGAATCTCAGCACTTTGATATTACTGGACCCAAAACCCTCCCTGGTAGAGGAAACTTAGCGTGTTCAGGTACTGCTTGAGGTAGTACATAAAGTCCATTTTGATGATTACAAAAGAGCTTTGGGCTTTGTTGGGAGGAAAGAAGAAATCTAGGTTCTAGTCCAAACTCTGCCACTAACTCTTTGTGTATTCTGGGCCGGTCATTTCCTGCAGGCCTTCAGTTCCCTACTTTCAAAATGAGCAATTTGGATTCAGTTCTTGATGTAGATTTTGCATGAAGTTCCTTCAGGAGTACTATGGAAGACAGGCCTTCAGTGGGTTGGCTAGATCAACAGTTCGAACCTTTTCCGGAACCCCAGGGTTTTGGTTGGGTTCAGGGTCTTTAGAGGAAGTTCGATGGGTAGAACTATTAGGCTCCCTTTTAGCCTTCAACCAGAGTTGCTGCTTTCAGTTGGTTTGCATAGTAAGATTTCACAAAGGTTTCAAATGGTTGATATACCTCCATGCCCAGCCCCACCTCACCATGCTCTCAGAAGCAGACAGCAGAAAGGAAGTCAACAGTAGTGGGAGCACTCTCTTCGGTGCATTTGAAGGACATCTGTAGCGTTCTCATGCTTTCTTTCCTTCCTCCCTAGGTACACAGTTCTGCACAGTGGACATCACCAGGAACTTGAGACACTGCCCATACACAATGACCCAGAATCCTTGGAATCATGCTTCTGATTGAGAACATGGCTCGTGATTAAGCCATTCATTCCCATTCATGTCTGCATGAACAGGACTCCCTGGCATCTCTCTTGACCCTCATCACCACCAGTGAGGCATGAGGCAGTGGGGCCGAGGGCCCAGGGAAGCTACATGGAACACAGTGTTGGACAGGAGCGAGGCCAGAATATGGAGGATCTCAGAGCTGAGAAGGGACTTCAGGCATCCTCAGATCCAGCCTCCCATCCAATGCAGGAGTAGCATCTTCCATAGCATCTCTGGAAGTTGGTCAGTCTCTGCTTGCACACCTCCAGGGATAGGAGCTCACTACCTCCTAATGCAGTTCCTTCTATTGTAGGGAAGCTTTAATTATAAGAAAGTTTTTCCTTTTGTTGGAACACAATCCTGTCTTGGCTCCATCTTCCATCGGGGGTCATGCAGTTAGCTCCCTATTCCCTTTGAAAGCCCTTAGATATTGGGAGACACTGATCTGCCATCCACCCACCCTTTTAAGTCTTCTCTCCAAGCTAAACAGCTCCAATTTCCTCTCCATTGTGGCCATCCTCTGGACATGCTATAGTGGGTGAATTAATCAAGGCTCTTGTAATGAAGTCAGATTGATATCAATGCCAAGATGTCTGTCCAGAAGCACTAAAGAGCTGACGAGTGAAACATCAGTATTTTCTGGTTGATAGATATGAACGTTTCTCCTTTCTTTTTTCTTGGGGATAGATTTGGAAACTGCTCAGGGTTTGATTTTAGATCCATTACCCAAAGGCATCTTTACTATTGGTCTAATTTGTGTGTGTGTGTGTGTGCGTTTAAAGATGACATTTTTCTCATTGGCATACTGGCTCTGAGGTCACGTGGAATGAATCTTGATTCATTTTCCTTCCATGACAATGGGAAAAGGAACTGCACCTTTACCGAGAATACTGATTAAGGATGGTCTTGCAACTCAGATTTGGCAAGGAAATGAAGTTGCTCCAATAAGACACATTTTAGGGGCTTTCAGGCCCCTGTGCTGAAGCAGTGCTTGGTCTCGGGCCCGGCACTTTGCTCGCTGGGGCAAAGACATAATCACAGACCAGCTTACTTTCTTGGGAAAATTCACTGGCCCCCTGCCTGGGAAGCTGCTGGGGCTCCATTTTTCTGCATCTTTTTTAGCATCTCACTTCCTCCAAGCTCCTCAGGAGATGCTCCCCTGATGTCAAAGCTACCAGCAAATCATTTTGTCTCGGGGTGAATTATCCCCACAGGTTGAAACTCTTGAGGGCAAATTTTCTTCCAGTTGCCTTTCTTTTGACTGCTGATAAAAATCCTATTGCGAAGATGGAATGCTGGTCCTTAGGGAACCAGCCCAGGGAACAGGCAATGTGGGGGGGGAGGGGGTGGAGCTTACAAGATAACCTTGTGCCTGAAGTTTCTAGCCTCACCAGTTCCCCTTGCCTTTGTGCTTGATCTGTTCATCCCACTTTCCTTCCTAAGTCATCCCAGAAGCCACAATTGCCTCCTTACCACCGATTTTATCCATGGAAGCAGAACCCACTGGTTCTCCCTCTTCTCTCCATCCCCAGAAATGGTGGGAAGGATGATCAGACACCCTGGTTTTTTGCACTGCAAGTCCCACATCCCAGGAAACCCCTCAGTTCCAGGCAAAGGAGGCTGGCTGGTCACCCCACGTATGGGACCCTCCCAGAGAGGATTAACAGGCTCCTCACAGCTGCATTTTCTTTCTACACTTTTTCATGGAAAAGGCAAAGCTGAGTGAATTCGGGGCTCCAGAGTTCTTCCCGTGCTGTCTGAATGAGGTCTCTGATCTCAAAGCACAAAGAACTTCTTAGGGAAAGACTAAGAGATCATGAGAACCAGATCATCGTGAGGAGGAAGAGGTTTAATGCTTTGAGGCAACTGGTAAGCTTTGTTGAATGTCCCCGAAGTTGACAGTATCTACTGTTGAGTACATAGATGCATACACATGCGCATATATCCAGTAAGATTTGTTCCCTATGAAATGCTTCTTTTCCCAGGAGCTTAACAAGCTTATCTGCTTGTGTAAAATATGATTTCTCAGTGGTAGGTCTACCATATTCGGTGGGAGCTTGGATTCAAGAGGGATCCACAGATTACAGCACGCGTGGGAAAATGAGATCTTGCCATATCCTCAGGCCATCCTCTTCTGGACTCTCGGGACACGCTTCTGTGGGCCAGCCCCTGACTGGTGTCTGCAGAGGTCACAAGCACCCTGGCCCAGGGAAACAGTAGTGATTGAGGAACTAGAAGTCCGTGCCGTTGTCAAGAAGATGGTCTCCTTTGCAGAGAAATCCTCACAAGCAAACTTCGCTCTCGCTTTGGACCAGGGCTGGGATGATGTGGGTGCTGCACCCAACAGCCACACTGGAAGTTTATAGGACAGCACCAGAGGCGCTCTGTCTAGACAGCTGCTAGCCTGGCATTACTTAGCGGTCTGGCTTCCGGGAGTCCAGGTAATAGAGCATGTGTATGGAAGACGGAGAAGGAGGAGATGTAGACAGAGCTTGTCTAAGGAAGGAGGAGACTTACTCTGCTGTCTTCTCTGAGAAGGCCACCCTCTTCCAGGTAGCCCCAAGTGTCAAGAAGAGATGCTTCCGGGGGGGCGGTGCGTACGCCTCTGGCCACATCTGCCAGGTCAGCCTGGACGATCACGGGGGTGTCGGTGCTGCAGCCAGACTACCCCACGCCTGGGATCGAGGGGCTCCAGCTGTGCTTGTTCTCAACATGACTCTCCAGCTCACAGGTCTGTGCAGGTAGAAGCCCCGAACTCCCTGTCCAACTCCTGGTCAGCAGCTGGAAAGCGAAAGAGATCAAAACCAGCTTCTTCAACTGACCCCCAAGTATGTGTTTGTAGACAACCCCGTTCTTCCCGAGATTTCACCTTCTCATCTCGCCACCATTTCCACTTCACGCTGCTCACTTGCTCTGTCCTGGAGCAAACTGGGAAACGGGGTGGGGGGAGGAGGAGGGGTGTAGGGCGGATGAAGGAGGGGATCCAGGGAGGGGCTGGGAATGGCTATAATTAAACTGCCTTCAATGTTGTCTTCAAGTAAGAACAAAGTAACGTGTTCTCGGTGCTGTGCGGTCTGCCCATTTTTCTCTTTGGTGTTGCATTTCTCTCCCGGGAGAAATCAGTGTTGCTTTTGTCTTTCTGTTGCTCTGCTCTGCTCTGGTCAACGTTCTTCCTTGTAAACTCCTGGTCTTGTGGGTGGAAAAGACTAATGCATTTACCTTTTCTGGCCGTGACCTGCGATCTCTTTTTCATTCAGTCTAGAAAACTGAGGCCGCGTGTTTGGCTTAAATTTAAACAAATCAGGGATGCATTTGAAGGCCTGGGTTTGGGACAGCATGCTGCTTTGGACCTTAACCAGCTCTTGTCTTGCTTGTCTCAGCCACAAAATAGAGAAACTCTTGAGTCGGTAGGATTGTTGGGAGTGTTCCAACATGCATCCAAGGGCCACTGTTAGGATTTTCCCCAAATAAGTGCCCTGCCTATACTGCGATTTACTTAATATTTTCGTTTAAGTCAATTCAAGTTTTCACTTAGATAAACATTTTAGAAACATTATATCAATCCCAGAATAGAAAATCAGTATTACTTGCCAAAAATAAAAAGCAGCCATAGAGATAAAGAAATGAAAACAAGGTTTTTAAGTTCTAACTTAAGCCCAGTGCTTATGTGTTTAAAAGGGAACTGATTTGAGTGCTGGAGGGCTGGCGGGGGGTGTGGGGGGGTAGGGGGGGTGGGCATGCCTCACCCGACAAGGGGCTTCTGACGCTGGGAAGGGCTGTGAGAGAAGTCACTGGAGAGGATCTTCCAAACTTTCTGAGTGAATGTGGTTAATCACTAGTGGAATTCGATACCTTTTGGAACCACAGAGAGAAGGCAAGTGAAACTGATGATATTTTTCATTGCTATTATATTTGATTCAGATTGTTTCTCTCTTTCCTTCCTCTCCTTTTTTTTTAGCTCATCCCAGAACATAGCTAAGTTGTTAATAATGATAATCGTAGTAATCATGTAGCAATAATAAGAGAAGCTAACATTTAATGACCTCCTTTTTGCGAGGCACTGTGGTAAGTGCTTTACCTAGATTATCTTAATCCTCATAAAATCCTTGCAAGAGAAGGAGCCAAATTTCTCCCGCTTTGCAGCAGAGCGGACCTCAGCCGAGAGGCGCCAGGCCCCAGGGCGGGAAGTGTGCGTTTGGAGTCTGGCCACAGGCAGTGTGACTGTCAAGCCCGCAGCGCTAACCGTGAGCACACGGTTCCGTACCGGGCTGAGTTTACTCCACTCTCCCATGTAGCACACGGTGCTGGGAGAGAGTATGAGCAAGCAGGGGTGCAAGCAGCAAGCGCTCCCGTTGCCTAGAAAGTGCCCTCCTGCCTCATCCTGGGGCCTGGAGAGGAATCCGGGACCTGCTTATTCCAGTGTGCAGCCCAGCCCGGCACTTGCTTAGTGTCTTCTTTGGCTCCCTTCCACGCGCTGAGCCTCACTTTGGGTGTCTAAACAAGGGAGGAATTCAGTAGATGATTGGTCTGGAGGAAAGGCCCTCCCGCACTGATCATTCCTACTCTTGCCAGTATCCAGTCGGGCTACTGAGTAACCAGCAGCAGCACGTCCTGAGAATGAGCTGTGTGAGCCAGAGCGAGCACTCCTCTTTTGTATCTCAGACCCTCCCTGGGCTGTGCAGATGAGGAGGAGTGGCTCCCGTGGAAGGCAACTTGACTTTGCCACATTTTGTGGTTGGAAACTGGACCACTATCTGGATAGGCTCCTCTGTCCCAGGAGCTCACCACTGCGGGGCACTTTATAGTTTCTATTTTCCCAGCGAGGTCCCTGGGCCTCTCACAGAAGGCTGCAGGGGGGGATTACTGACAGCATATTCTAGAAAAGGAAGCCGCCATTGTCAGGGAAGGTGATTTGCTCAAGGACACAGGAGTCAGGGCCAAAACACTGCAGGTCACTCCATTCTAACAGAGTGCTTTCCTCCTTCTTTTCTTTAAATTTGTTTCTAAATATACAAATTAAATATTTTTAGATGACATAAATGATGGGTTACACAGATAATGTATTAATGCAGCCCGTCCCCATGATAAAAAGTTCTAACTATAGCTAGAGCAAAACACCCTTTGATCCAGCTCAATCCCACTCCCCTCCCAAGAAGTATCTGCTCTTCTACCTGGCTTGTGTAACTCAAGAATGTGTTCTGTGTATCTCCATATGTATAAATGTACATATAAAAATATATGGTCTTGTCTTGTTCTTATATATAAATAATGCTGTGTATCATAATCTGCAACTTGCCTTCTTCAGTGGTACACCGTAAATGTCCTTTTACATCAACACGTGGGACTCCTTGTTGTTCTTTCTAGTTGCAGTGCGCCCACACCATACAGCAGATGCTGTCCAGCCTGCAGTGTTGTTTCTCTTCTGGTCTGGCTGCATCCCATGGCGGAGCGGGGCATGTGAGGCCCGCATCTGAAAATCAGCAGCCTCTCTTTTTCTGAAACTGTGCTAACCACATGAAGGTCAGCTGGAGTGGGCTCACGTTCATGGGGCAGCTGCCCTGTGGAGAAGGCCTGCCCTACCTGGGCCTCAGCCGGCCTCCCTTCGAGGCACTCGGGGCGCTCTGCCCCAGGGACACAGGCTCTGCAGGCGGACTGACAGCATCCTGCTTCCGCCGCTTCTCAGGTGCGTGCCTTTGACAAGATAGTTAACCTGCTCAGCCCTAATTTCCCCAACAGGAAAGCAGGGGACAGAATGATCAGACACACTTTAAAGTGTTTGTATGAGGATGTACGCAAAGCCCTTGGTAAGACTCTTTTTTAAAAGATCTATTTATTTGAGAGAGCGCACAGGTTGGGTTGGGGGCGGGGGAGAGGCAGAGAGACTCTCAAGCAGACTCCCCGCTGAGTGTAGAGCCCAGCACAGGGGCTCGATCTCATGAGCCTGAGATCATGACCTGAGCTGAAATCAAGAGTTGGCCACTCAGCCCACTGAGCCACCCAGGCTCCCTGGGAAACACTTTTAAAAACGCTTTCATGGTATCATTACTTCCTTCACGGCCTCACCAGTTATGTGCTTCCTACCATCTGGAATATGGTCCAAGGAACAGGAGGTTATGGAAAGAGTAGTAAAACCCCTTTCCTAATATAGGAAATCACAGCGGAAGCAGTTACTTTGTCCCCTTGCGACCCATTTTCCCGTTTATGGAGGCTCTCATGGCGCCTTCACAACTGCCCTGTGGGGTGGGCCTACTATTCCTTGTTACCATTTTACAGCCGAGGAAACGGGGCCCCCAGAGTAGAGGCTGTGGCCATCCCCAGGTCACCCGGCAGTCCCCGTCAGGGCTATGTGTCCAGCTGTGCTCTCCAGAGATTGTCCGGGCTCACAGCTGGGCAGCACGGTCAGACGCGATTATCTCCCACGACTATCTAACACTGACATTAATTCAGTCATCCGTCCGCGACACAGTTCTTAAGGCCTTTTAAAAGTGTGCCAGACACTGCACCACAAGTTGGTGACATGCAATTGCGTGCACGAACAGGACAGTTCCGTTCTCTATGGCAAGTGTGGGCAAGCACACTAGGGCCTGGGGGCCAAGTCCTCCATCCAGGCTGGAAGAATGGTTTTTACTTTTTAAAGTGGTTGGAAAACAAATTGAAAGGTATTTTGTGACGTGTGAAAATGATGTGAAATTCCAATTTGTGTCCATAAATAAAGCTTTACTCTAACACAGCCACGCCCGTTTGTTGACGTCCCCTGTGTGGCTGCAGTGGTGGAGCCCGGAGGAATTTTCCGTCCGGAGGTCCGGCAAGTGGGCCGAGCCCTGCTGTAGGCCAATCGCTGTGCAGCCATTCATTCCACACGCACGGACCAAATGCGTACTACACTAGCCTTCTTCCAAGTTCACGGTTTTGGTTTTCAGTTGTTCCAGTCTTGAGCATCTTTGCAGTGATTTTAGCGCTTCCTGCTGTCCTTGTTCTAACAGTGGGTTAGATGAGCCGGAGAGAGAAACCACCAAGTTAGAAAACAGCGGCCTCTAGCGGCCCATCTCAGCATTGTTTAGATGATTTGGTTATGGTTACATTGGAGAAAAAACAAACAGGTTTAGCCTGAGTCTAAGGTTGGGGGGGGGTGTGTTGTATTATTCGGAAATATCTAGAATGTTTTAGAATTTGTTTCCTGCCTTTTATAAACTGGAAAGTACAAGACACTCTTAGTTAAAAGGGAGACTGGCCGAGTTAAAAATAAGGTAATAAAAAGATGACTGAACGTGGTACCTTACAATTCTTCCCAATGTGATAGAAATAATTTTGTCTTGAAAAAGAACTTTATCAAAAAAGACACTGATGATCATTCACACTATTTCAGTGTTAGGAAAATTTGCTGGCGCCCTTGCATTCCTGTGGACGTGAATGATACCGAGGCAGCCCAGTGGGAATCAAATTCTTGTCCTACCTAGCTTTGACCAGTTCTTGACCATAAGTGAGAATTTTCCCTCTCTGGACTTCAATTAATCCCGTTAATGAAAAGGTTGGACTAGGCAGTCTCTAAGGGCCCTTACACCCCACAGAGACCGTAAGTACATATTCCATGTGGAAAGGGTTGACAGAATTTTTCCACAGACCTTCTAGTTTAAGCAACTTACGAGGTCACTCAGCTAGCAAGTGCTAAAGCTAGCCCTCAAGCACAGGTGTTGCTCTAGAAGGTGTTTTTGTCTTGACCCCTGACCCTATAATGAGGCACAGGCCACCGTCCTATCAGGGTGATGTCTCTTCCGAGAAAGGAGAAAGGCCATCTCCTGGTGACCAGGTATTTCGGGAACTTCCGCTCTCCCCAGTGTTCGGTCACATAATAGCTCTACGGGTTGAACGCCTTGCAGCCACAGGATTTTAGAAAAAAAGAGAGAGACCAGCTTACACTGGAGTCTTACTTAGACACAACT